GGTACACCGCGCACACAGGATTAGAACCTTAGCGATTAGTCTACTCAATTGCATGAGCCATCTTGGGAACCTCCACTCTAGTTCGAAACCTCCATTTCAGGATACGCTGGTAGCTAGTCCTAACAAAGGCTTTCCTCGGTTTTCTCGGCTTCTCTGAGCTGTCGTCAACTTGCAAATGCCGTTGTATTTTGCCCACGGTTAAACCCGCTTGGAATCTTTAAACGGGTTACACCGGGTAAGTTCAGATTATTATTTCGTGCACTCTAACCAGATCAGTTTGTCTTTGTCGGTTCTCTTGGTCTGTCCGAGGTACAATATACGAGGGTGATGCGAGCTAGTCCCGTCATCACCTTTGTCGACTGCTATAATTTGCATAAGGACTGAGATATTGGAAATTTCAATTGAACAGCCTCCAGATGTGGCATCCCAATAGGCTTCTAAAACAACTCCGGCAGTGGGCCTATAGTCTAGTCTAGATATGTATGCAGTCATAGAGAAAAAGAAGAATCCGATACAAAATATTCCACAAATATTCAACGAGCAAATTAGAACCGTTCCATGAGCTGCTTGCGCACCGTCCACATGCGAGCTCGTTTGCCGTAGATGTACATAGGAATGGACATGAGCATGAAGAAAAGCTGTATACCACCAATAGACAGGAACACAGTGCGTGAACCATCAGAATCGAGCCAATCCACGATGAAAAGGGAGAAAATCAGGCCGTGGAGAACATCTGCAAGAGAAAAAGGCGTTAGACCAGACTAGCCGAACAAGAAAGGGATAGTTCAACATACTCTTGCTAAAGTTCAGTGTCACTAGCGCCTCGCCAGCATACTGGCGATAGCTATCTACACAAAAAGTGATAGCGGTCGTGCTGCCCAGGCAGCAACCAAACGAGATCAAACCAAAGAAGATAGTCGGGACAATCCAAGAGTCACCGATCTCAGCACTCCACCCAAACGCCATCAGGCCGATGACAGTAGACAAAGCGATAGGAATTGTCATCACGAGACGGAATTCAGGCTCGTAGATGCCGCCATTGCGCCTGGTCATGAACCGCGCGATAATGTCTGATACTTTGCCCGCCACTCCGGTTCCAAGGAGACCGCCGATAAACGGCGAGATGTAGATCAGGCCTGTCTGCAACGGGGTAAAGTTGTACTGATCTTTGCTCTCGAATATGTGTGCAACTGACTCCGAAAGTACGATCAGCCACCCGACCGATAGTGCGTATACCACTGTTGACCACAGCACGGCTGGATAGGCGAATAGGATGAATGGTCGCGCGGCAACTCGGTACCAGCTGTCGTGAGCGATTCGCCCGTTCCAGACTCTAAGTAATCGGGAGTAGGGGATCTTCGGCCCTTCACGTAGTCGGTTTGTGTATTGTAGGGTTGCGGGCAGCGGTGGCCCGGTAGGCTCTAGTGACTCGGTCCTCGCAGGTGATACGGCACCTCGACCTACGGTGGCTGGTCGAGCTGCCTCTAGGTCAGCTGCCTCCAGATCATCTGGGTGTGCGCCAGGCACAAGTGCGTGAGGTGGTGGTTGGAGGAATTCATCGCCTTTTTCATTAACCGGGTTCGGCGGTTGAGTGTTGATTTGGTCACCATTGGTAGCATTACCGGCCTCGCAAACAGAATCGGACTTTTCAGTCTCGACTGCCTGACCTCCGTCTTCTAGATGGTCATCCGCGAATCCAAAATGCGCATGCTTGGACTTCTTCGGTGCCAATTCTGGATCTGAATGGCCCTGTTCGGCGGACTCGTCCTGGGGTTGGACATACGGGTGCCGCCCGCGGAAGCCGTGGGAAACGAGGTCGGAGACACTCTGACCAAGGCCACGCGAGCCCTTGTGTTTGTGCACACGCGGACGGGGTGTGCGATCCCAAAATGTTTCGGGCACGAAGAAAAAGAGCAAGACTAGACACATGCCTGCAACCATGGCGACAATCCAAAATACCCAGCGCCAGCTCAGGCCCTCAATGATGGCGGCACTCACGAGGGGGATCAGGTTCTTTCCGCCTAGTAGCAAGAGTGTGTATATCCCCACTCTATAGGCTCTTTCGTGCAAGAAGTAGATCTCTGCAATTGTGGCAGATGGGAGACACTCAACTGGGCTCACGGCAAATCCTTGGAAAACACGAGCAACCACGAGACTTGCATAGTTCGGTGATGCTGCGCACCAAATTGCCGAGATCACAAACAGGATGGCTCCCAGGAGGTAAACCGGTCGTTTCCCGTATAGAATAGCCGTGGGCGACATCACAACAGACCCCAGGCCCAGGCCTAACATATACAACCCGGTGGTGAAAGCAACCTTCTGTGTACTGGTATCGTACGTGGCTGCAACCTCATTGAACCCAGCCGCCAAGATAGGGGTCATGCCGCCTCCCATCAGGCAATAGAAGCCCAGCGAGACCAACGCGGTATCTCTTTGCCAAACAGGCCAGTTCAAAGGGTCATTTGCAGAGTCATCTGGTTGGGGATCAAGCACGAATTGTCCGTCCGCTGTTTTCTTCTGGGTTGGAACCGTCGACCGCGTTCGAGAATTAGATCGCGAGGGCGGATAGGACGAGGCTATAGAAGATGTCGATGTCCGGTGCGGTTGATGCCTCATTCCCAAAGGTTCATTGCGATTTGAGGATAAGAGAAGTACTGTTCCTAAATCATGCCAGCCAGTTGTCAGAGCCGTTCCACAATATCATCTCTCTGTGACGGGGGACTCCCTACTCACCAGGAACTTCGTCTGTCTCTCGATCACTTAGGATTCCCAGTGTAGATTTGGCGCGATAAGTCTGATTCTCGCTAGGCTCGAAATCTTCTTTGGTCTTTCCTCCAAAGAGTCGTCTCCAGCGCGAAGCAGCTGGCTGCTGCTGGACGCGGTCCACCCCCGTGTTTTCCTCCATTGTAGAAGAACGGTCTTCTGCCGGTGAGGCCATGTTCTGTTCGAGAACTAGGAATAAAGGGTTCAAGATAGTCCCTACAAAAATAAGTGAAGTATGTCGCCGAGTCTTGCGAAAGCGATCAACGCTTCTGGATCAACGCAGGAGGCAGTAAATGAACACCACTCAAAGGCATAGTTTGATGGAGCGGGAAAGACGAGGGGCGAGGTAGTAGGGAAAGAGAAATCTCTAAGTGGCGGGTGATATATAGTGTCCTAGGGCCATTCGGGCTCCATGCGATAAGCTAAAATGGTGGAAACACAAAAAGAGACAAGCGACGATCCCAAAGAGGCAGCAGGGGGAGGCGGTGAGAGGGTCTGAAGGTACTCGCTGAGTACCGTGACTGTCGCCCAGTCGCCAAGGTTAAATCAAGTCGCCTCGAGGTACTATCGTTTTGATCTTATCGGAGATCTTCTTGCATATCTGCATTCTACACATCCCTGCCTGTGGACAGAACTGCTGGAACTGTCCGAGAATGACGGGGCAGATAAGCACATCATTTTCGGACAATGCTAAGCTCCCCACAATATGTCGTTGATAATGCACCTCGTGGGTCAACAATCCGCGTTGACAGGTGGATCTTTGGGCCACGCATTACACGCAAGATAACGTCGAGAGAACAATACTACACTCACATATCTGTCGACAATCTACTCTATACAGTGAAGGTTAATTGCACTAGGCTCGAATATTCCCAATCGCCGAATGCGCCCGGCCATTCCTGGTATATGCCAAGCCACTCAAATCCGGCGCTTGTCGCGAGAGTTTTACTTCGCATGATCTGCCTATCCATAAACATATCTTTCGACGAGTTCAAGTGTCACTCACTCAAATCATGTTTTGAATACCCCAAAATTGTCTCAGCTGACCACCGGGAGATGTTGGCTGTCGTCATTGTGCAGGCTAATTGCGGGGGAAAGGAGCCCCAGCTTTGATGAACTTGTCATACCGTTGGATGTCAGTGCTCGAGCTAGCATGGCGTCATGTGTCAGGCCTTGGCTACTGATTTGCAACCTTATACTACATCATGTTTGGAAGAGGAAGATACAACACGCCAGTTGCGTCCACGGTTATCACTACTTCTAGGGAGCCATCTGATGTGATTTCACGAAGGATCGGCTGGGATCGACAGACTCGTTTTAGGGTGCTTTGATTTTTGATTGCCATTTGCTATATGCTGTGGGCGGATTAAGCAACTTGCCAATATAAGTCAAGGCTTTCTATTCATTTGATAGCATTGTCTGCCCCTCCATCTGAAGTAGGAGGAATCTGGCAGGTCCCCGGGAAGTATATACTCCAGTCCCTTGTCTTTTATGCTGTAGCATTCTCATCAAACTTGGGATTTACTAATAATATGGGAAAGAGCGACTGCGTATGAGGTTGTACCAACGTGATGGCATAGTTCTCTTGACAGAAACCCTTGTTTTCCGTCTAAAAATTCTTGTCTAACCTAATTCAGGCATTTACACATAGGCTTCTTCACCTCAAGGCCTACCTACGTCTAGTATAGTCCTTTGACTTGATACTATGTTGCTGTTCTAGGGTTCCTATACAGGTGTGTAGGGGGAAATGGCTAATATTACGACCATAGCATACTACATAAATACATAGCAGACCATTAAGAGTACAATTCTCCATTCGGACCATGCACATCTACGTTGATGGCCAACTGCGTCCAGGGGTGAATCAAATCCCGCCGATTTCCATTACAGGGGCCGTTTGCGGGCAGTCACGTGTGAAACCCCTTTGGCAATTCTAGACCAATTTCAACGCCAGTGCCCTTTCTTTGCTTTGAATTCTTTTGTCATTTGCTTATAGTTACTTCGTCTTAATATTTCTACTTCTTTCTTACTACTCCACATTCATTGCGATATCCATCTTTGCCCTCGAAAAATTGTCTGGTGTCGATCAAACCGTCCCACGCGACTTAGTGTCGTGTCATCACTCGAAGAATTCTCCCACCTTGGATATCGGTTCCTCCGCTTTATTACGGACTATAAATTCAAAGCGCAATTTCAATTCTTATTCGCTCTTTCTGTGGGAGAAACCGCCATTCATCATGAAGATCAACCAGTCGCCCCTCCTTCTCTTCCTTCTTCCTGCCATTTCGGTCGTGCTCGCCGACACATACAATGACAACATAGACTCTAAAGTCTCGCGGGAGACTGTGGGTAATAATGCTCGTCTCGTTGACTCGGATATAGTCGCATCCAATGTCGCCAAAGGGGCGCCGGACGTCCCCGTGGATGGCAAGGATGGCAGACCACACGCTGGTCCGTGGGTGGAAACCAACGCAGACCGGGATCGTACAGGTGTCCAGGGAGGCGATGATGTTGATCCGGTTTCTGTCAAATATGATACCAATATCCCCTCTTCGGAACACCTGAGTACCGAAGAAGGGAAAATGATCCCGCATTCAAACGGCGGCGTTATGGATGATCCGCATCGGGCGGGCCCGAAAGAAGGGACACGAGGAACCGAGGGTGGTGTGTCTGAGAAAGGAAAAGAAAGCCAATTGGCCTCTGAAAAAGTCCCGGGAGGGCCGAAGGAAGCGCCTCCGTTGCCGCATAGTGAGACCAAGAAGTTGGGCCCCGACAGCGACGACACAACAACCGGGGGTGGAAGTCGGTCTGCGGAGGGTCCGGGAAGTCTTGGAATGCTCGGGGTAAGTCTTTCTTTATGTTGCTCGAGTCCGAGGTCCTTCGTTGAGCAAGTGGGATTAATGTCCATCTAGAAACCCGACGACCTGCCTGAAAAGCCACACGATATTCCACACCCCAAGTCCCCGGGTACAGCCAAGGAGGACCCTATAGGCCTTGTACACGACAAAGTCACCCCGGGATCGTCTTCGAGTTCGTCCTCGTCCTCGTCCTCGTTGGGCCACGGCCACGACCACGACCACGACTCTGGTATCCATGATGCTGGCAGCTCACTACACTCCCTTGTCTTCTCCTTCACCATGATTCTCGTCTCTGAAATCGGCGACAAGACTTTCCTCGTGGCTGCGCTGATGGCGATGAGACATCCTCGCTTGGTGGTGTTCAGCGCCGCATTTAGTGCCTTGGTTATGATGACTGTTCTTTCAGCAGTCCTGGGCCATGCAGTTCCTACTCTTATCCCTAAAACGTTCACCAAATTCCTGGCTGCCATTTTGTTCTTAATCTTTGGTGCGAAGATGCTCAAGGAAGGCCGTGAAATGTCTCCAGATGAAGGTGTGGGTGAAGAGATGCGAGAGGTTGAGGCGGAGCTCGAAGAGAAGGAGCACGAGCAGCTGCGTATGAACCGCCGTCGTTCCTCGGTTACTCCTCACAATCTTGAAGCAGGTCGCGCTGGAGGCCGTCCCAAAACCCGCGGCTCCGGAAACCGCCTGCCTTCGCCTCCGGAGAGCTTGTCCTCGTCCTCGTCCCGTGGCTCTTCTCCCCAGCCCCGGCAACGGCTAAACAATGTCGTTTCCGGATTGAGCAATCTATTTTCCCTACTTCTCAGCCCCGCGTGGGTTCAGACCTTTGTCATGACCTTCCTCGGCGAATGGGGCGACCGCAGTCAGATTGCCACTATCGCCATGGCAGCTGGCCAGGACTACTGGTGGGTGACAATTGGAGCTAGCGCTGGTCATGGAATCTGCACCGCAGCCGCCGTGCTCGGTGGACGGGCCATCGCTGGCCGGGTCAGCATGCGTGTTGGTATGTATCCTCTGCTTGTTTTCCTATATATGGCACATGCTAATCTTGACTTTCATAGTGACTCTGGGCGGCGCTGTGGCATTCCTTCTGTTTGGCGTCATCTACTTCATCGAAGCCATCTTTTGAAGCGCTGCATATCCGCGGTTGTATGTGTCCCTGGAAACTTATCGTTATAGTTTTTGGCGGTTGATTTTGTCTAAAAATCGAATGAATGTATCTTGTGACATACCTACGACTGTTTTAATACTATAATTACGTGTCTGGCCCACGGAATATCCAGGTTCACAATCTTACATCAAAATAGAAATCCAAGCTCTGAGTACTTTGACCGTCTGTTGATGCATCAAGGTGTCGTTTTCTACCAATTACATAGAGACACGGGGCATGCGAGGGTATGAGAAAATGCACGAGCCTACGCATGTGGTCGAGAAAATGTTGTGATGGCCGATCTCTTCAGTCCTGGAGGAATTCTCCTACAAATGAACATTCGTAGTTCCACCACCCGCTCTTTTGAATTTGAGTATCCATTTTCCGGCGTCCTAATAAACCTAGATATGACGTAAATTAGGCGCCCTGTGTATGGGGCTAGAGATCGGCGAATATAAAATACGAGGTAAATATCACTGATCCTAATTCAACCTTTGGATCTTCCCGTTCAAGGTCTAGCGAACATTTCAAGATGTCATGGTCCAAAGTGAGCGAACAACGATGTGAACGTCTACTCGGCGAAAATGAAACGTTTATCAAGATCCTTGGTGAAGCCGCCCGTCCGTTCAATCGTGAACACTGGGCTATCAACATCATTGCCTCGGTGACCCCGCTAGGGTCACTCGCCAAGGAAAATCAATCCTCTCTCTTCCGAGATGCATGGAGGGCTTTGCGTTTCAAGCACCCCACGATCGCCGCCTATATCGTAGACGAAACCAAATATGTCTACGATATCCCCGATCCTACGGCACTTGAGAAATGGACGGCAGAAACCTTCCAAGTGATTGAGGACAAGACGGTCGATGAAGTCATCGCATCTGCCACACGTGTTCCCTACGCTACTATGACCTTTTTCCCCAAGACGGGTGAGTTATTGGGCCGCTCGCAACATTGGAGAACGGATGGCATCGGTGGCTTGATTCTGATGGACGACTTCCTTGACCTAGCCGCGCAGTCTGCTGTAGATACTTCCTCCCTGCCATGGGGTGAAGAGACCGGCCGCTTAGCGCCGTGTGTTGAGGAAGCATCATCCAGTTTTATAACATCGGAGAAGCAAGATAAGCAACTAGCCCAGCAGTGTGTTGCAAGTTTCGGTCATGCCGCTGGGGCCATCGGAATCGCCTCTCACGCACCAGCCGAGACTTCCCCAGGTGGTACGCGCATTAACCGTCTTCATCTCACCGAGCAAGAGACAAAGGCCGTAGTGCAAGGTTGCAAGGCTCGGGGGCTCTCGGTAACAGCAGCAGTACACGCATCAATTGCCGGAGCCAACTATGCGCTAGCTACTGCTGAGGATCAGAACAAACACTATACGAGTACGATACGGTACAGTTTACGTCCGTTCCTACCAGGGCCATACTCTGGTCGCCAGTATGCCAGCACAATCCTCACGACGGGTTGGATGTTCCCTGTTTCGTCCGAGTCGTTATGGTCAGATCGAGCAAGGGCATACCATGACGAGTACCGCAAAGGTCTGAGTCATGCATACATTTCCGCGCATCGCGAATACGCCATTGGGCTATGCAACCTTCTTCGCAGTTTGCCGAAGAACACCCCTTCACCGACCGATGTGGACATCAGCAGCCTCGGTGTGTGCGAGAGGTTTGTGGCGAGAGAAAAGGGAACTGCAGAGCGGGGAATTCGCATCGATCGAGTCTCGGGCGGCTTGGATATGATCAATAGACAATGCGTGTGTCATGTGTGGACTTTTCGAGACCAGCTTTGTTTGAACTTGGCATACAATGAGGCATTTTATGATAGGGCGGAGGGGGATTCCTTTTTGCAGATTGTAAAAAACTCCCTGCTGCATGAATTGATACTATAGGGTCCTAAAGTTTTATAACTCGGATGTATTTAACCCATGATCACATGATTTCGTCGAAAATTCAGGTCTCACGCCAAGCATTTACGTAAAAATGTAAATGGGGTTTAGGGTTTTTAGGGTCTTGACCTGATAATCCAGGCATCAAATTACCGAAGACGGACTAGCGTGTCTCGCTTTATAAATAATCCGTTGTTCCGAGTACCGCAGCCCCGAAAACCCTGACATCTGGCCACTCCGCTCCCTTAATTCTCCAACTCTTTCATCAAATTCGTACACATCTCATCAGGCGACCATCAGAAGCCTTTCGGTTTCATCTGAAATTATTTTTTTCCAGTTACATCAAATTTCTATCAAATCACGCGAAAGTGAATAAATAACAACAAGGCTTGTAGGGGCTTGATTCCTGCCCTACATTGCCCACCGCCTTCCATGGCACGCATCACGGGGTCCCGCATGACGCGAAGTCGGAGCCGAGAAGCAAATGCAGGGTTTATGCCAAGTAAAGAGTCGTTGGAGCGAAATTGTAGGTAATTTTCCGGTTGTTTTGGTGTAGCCTCAGCAGCCCTTGAGGCGTTCGTGTCGCATAGTGGGTCAGGCAACTACGCATTAGGGGAACATATGCATAGTTGTGTATTCCTTAATGCGCGAACTCGCTCGATACTCCTTTCATCTGCTTGTCCCGTTCCCTCACCTTTCATCCTGTTGCCTCTATCACTTCTGACAGTTGAATGTCTTCTGACTTTATTCAGGGTTAAGTGGGCTGGCTGAGGAGCCTTCTGCTCCTTCTACCGGGTTTATTGCACCCAGAGATGTGGTACCAGAATCGCCTGAAAATCAGGAAGGTAATACCAATGTGTCTGGTACAACCTTGTGTCCCAATGATGCGGAGCCCGCCTATTCTCGAGTCACCGATGCTCGAGTCGCCGATAAAATCGCGACTCACTTGCCGTTCGTTCAACAGCAGGCGACCCTTGTCATGAGCCTGTTGGTTCACCCAGACTTGAACCCGGACAGCCTTGCAGCCGAGTCGAAAAAGCTCCTCGATTCTGGCCACCCGAATCGCAAACGATTGAGGCGATTCGTGGAAGGGCTGACCGATGAACTGGAAGACTGTCCTCTTTCTCGTGATGGCAAGTCCCTATTGGACGTCTCCCAGGCTCGTCGTTTGCTTTCTCCCGCGCAACTGGATGCGTCAATCACATATATTTACATGACAAATTGCGCTCTGTTGACCCTCAACATGTTCCTCCCCAGCATCGGCACCGAGTCCCAGTCGGAGGTCATCCAACAGCTGGACTCCCAGTTTCCCGCATGTGTCTTGGGCAACCTTCCGGACAGTTCTACGCCAAGGGAAGTTGGGGCGAGTGATACCAGCGAGACTACTTTCAATCTTGCCTTGAGTATCCGCACACAGTTCTTCATCATGGAATTAGAAAGACGCCAACATGAGCAAGACTTCAGCCCACTTTCCATCTTGAGACAGGTCTTTGCAATAGACCTCATTCCTAGCGAAGATTACTCTCAGGATATCCCCGGTTCCTTCCGGGGGTTCAACTTGCCGGGTATCTTTCAGGACGAGGATGGCCATCTCCCTGAGAGTCTTCCTGAGAAGTTTCTCATCGCCGTCAACGACAGATTCAATGAACTTCACGAGGAACTTTCTGAGTGGGATTCCGTTGATATTGGTGGTCTGAAAAAGGCATACAGGTGGCGGTCGTTTGAACGAGACCTTGCCCGTTGGATCTATGTCCGTGACAGCGAAATTAAGGAAGACATCAGACGCTTGTCAGAAAGAGTGCATAGCTCATCCACACCTCGTCGCCTTACTTCTGTCCCGGTCGGAACTCCCAGTCGACGAGTATCGACAGTGCCTCCGTCTCCTCAGAAAGACCGACTTGTGAACATGGCACCGGATGCAGGTAGAGTGCCCCCGTCTCCTCAGAAAGAACGACTGGTGAACATGGCACCGGATGCAGCCAGAGTACCCCAGGCAGAGACGGCAACGCAGGCAGGACAGACAGCACCGGTGGATAAATTGCCTGAAAACGACGCTCCTCGGCCAAGTGCCGCTTCTCAAAAGGTTCCTGAAAAAAGTGTCTCCGACCAAGTCGCACGGCTGGCAGCAAAAGATCCAGGACGGCGCAAGTCCAAAAGGTATGCTCGCTCTACTCCCTCTCTCTGTGGCTACTAACTTTCGTCTATAGCAACTACCGAGACCCGGCCTCGTTCGCGGCACTCATGAGACGCCAGGCTACTAGTCATCAGCAACCTGTCTCGAACGGATCGCAAGCGCAAACTATTTCTACAAAGACAAGCATTGTGGCCCACGTGATTAATCCTGGCCCTACTGCTAGTCGCGCAACCGAGGCTTTTGAAATTCAACAATCCCCTGAGCTGGGATATACAGACATCGGGGATGACTCTACATACGTAAACAATGACGAGGACTTGGATCTCGGCCATGGCCCAGGACCAGATGTTATAATATCAACCAGTCCCCCCAACTCCGCTAGAATCAGTCATGTCAGCCACAATCCCACTCCTCGGTTATCTGATTCGCCCAGAGATGGAAACCCACAGCGATCAGTCCCGATCGCTCGGCGCTTCCTCGATAAGCAGAATAACGCTAGGGTTGTGTCGCCGATCAGCCAATATGATACTCAAAGTACTGTACTGGGGAAGCGAAATCGGAATGCTGATGTCCTGGATGATGACTCAACTGACGGGTCAGACGATGAGTTCGAGCAGAATAATCACAACGTCGATGCGAGGCGCAGGGTCGAAAAGTCTCCGCACAACGAGCCTGCCGCGAAGCGACACCACCCCCAGGACACCGCGTGGTCTGGTGGAGAACAGTCGCAATCAAGTATCAATAGATTGTTCCACCACAACCAGTCTAGCCAGACGCAAGTTTCTCGAAGGATCCAGGCGGTTGAAAGTGACGATGCCGCCACTGATGAAGAGACCACCGTTGCACAGCTCGAACCGCCCCCTAGTACCCAGGGTCGCTGGGCAGCCTCCCAGGCTGCGATGGCCAGGAGGGGAGTTCTGAAGACCAGCCACAGGTGGACAGATGAGGAGGATGAACGTTTGCTTCATCTCATGGGAATTTACGGCACTGCCTTTGCTACTATAAAGAAGCAAGACAACGCTTGCCCCCCGTCTGAAGGCGGTCCCGTGCTTGAACGTCGTTCTCAGATCAATTGTAAAGATCGTGCTCGCAATTTGAAGAGAAAATATCTCAGGTAAGACATCATACTTTTTCGTCCTTAGTGTGATGTGCGTGGCAGTTCTGACGCATTGTTTTACAGAGAGGGCCGAACACTTCCACCGAACTTGGATAAGGCAGCAAGTTGATTTGACGCATTGATAATTACAAGCAGTCGTGTTTGCTCTTGCGTTTCTTAGCGTTCATCGAGATACCCAATGAGCGTATAGGATAGCTTTTTTGAGCGTTCATTTCTAAGCTTCTGCTTTCGTTGTTTCTTTTCGTGTATGTTTTTTTGCCTTGTATAGGGCTCTTCTACGAAGAAACGTTGTTAGTTGTTGATTATTCGTTTACTGTTGTTTTATTTTCTCGATTTTCAGTGCTGTCAAGATTAAACGAATTGCTGTTTTACATATTCATCGCCACAAGGACCTTTTTTTTTAATATATATTAATAACTACACCAGGTACGCTCTCTAATTCAAAAGACGTGCAATGAAGTCAAAGCAATACTTTCAGCTACTTGGCATTGTCCATCGTGTCCAGGTGTTCGTTCCTATCCTTTTCAGCAGATTTTGTCAGCCTTCTCCAAGATCCCTTCAGTGCTTTTGTTCGTTTAGAGAATGTCCATCCACCAGAAAAAGAAAGGAGTATAATGGAGCCAGGGGAAGTGTTTTACACTGAGCTCGTGAGACAAAATCCAAGATCAAGTAGAACCTGCAATGAAAAGATACACTGACTCAAAATCAAGGCCAGAATACAAAACTTCAATCGCTTTGTATGAAATGCATGAGTTAGAAACACAAATCTAAGATATTATGACATATTGCCTGTCTCGGCTCCGCAATGCCCTGCTAATTGCTTTGTTGGGAAGCTTTCAGGTCTTTGATATATGGCACTGATAGCTGTCATAGTGTCTCATTATCAAAGAACGTTATTCATTTTACGAGTTTCGGAGTGCATCCGCTAGACAAAGAAATAAAGATTCCATACAGAATACTCTAACAAGATGCTAGACTTACGGATAACTCCTACACGGTACATAGCGGATGACGAAATGACCTCTGTATAAAAACAGATGTATTTCTTAAGTCTAACTCCCCATATCAATTCAACACCACCAGAAACCGGCTACTTGCATCAAACCAGACATTCAAGAAACTTGTTCACACGTTATTACATTGCACCTCTCAAAATGGGCAACGGCAGGGGCAGAAACAAGGGCAGAGGTAGGGGCAAGAAAAGAAGTCACATTCACAGTCTGAAGGAAAACACCGTCGCAACGACGGTCGCAACGAAGCTCGAGAACAAGCCTGAGGGCGAGATCTCGGACAAGCATCACTGTCTCAGCAAGCGACCGAAGCATGTTCGGACCTCACGATGCCTTCGTTTAGGCCATGTGGTCCAATGTCCGATTCATTCTGACAGCTTCCCATTACGGTTGAGCGAGTGCGTGAAGTGCAACAATGCTGACAGGCGACAAGTGCAGCAGGAGCACAAAGATAGAAAGAAGTAGAGCAAGCCATCTTTTTGGTCTTTGAGGTTAGATAGCCCAGGTCAACTCTTTTTATATGTCTCGTCTTACCTATCGGACATAGTTCTTATATCGGCTGATCACCCTTTTCTCTTTAGACACTTAGACAGAAATTCCGAGTCAATCAAAATCTTGATGCAAACTTCATTGTATATCCACTCCCGCCACCATCTGAGCACATTCATCTATCAAACGTGCAATGCCCTCGGTTGCCGCAGCGCTCCGTGGAATACTATGTCCTCCCTCATGTTGATATGTCAATCGTTTCATAGACTCAGATAAATAAGCTAATTGCAGTGAAGCGGGCAACCGAGGATCAACTCGCCCATAGACATGGAGCGTTGGAATTTTTATCCGCAGCTGCTCGGGCATCTGGACAGTATCCAGTCCGAATATGTCCGAGGGGTCAATTGGGGCCGACGGATTCAAATGGAGGTCAGCATCACCATTTCCCCCGGGAGTGGTCCATCTATCTCTTCCCCATTTCAGGATCGCTTCCTTGGATGCTCGTTCACGCAGAGCTAGCTTGGTCCGTTTATCCCACTCGCGAGCTTCGTCGGAAATTGTCATTCCCAGCGTTTCTAACACCGACAAGACTGGTCCGCCGCAAATAAATACGACGGCTTTGAAAGGCAATGGCTCGGTCGGTTTTTCTATCTGGTGGAACCAAATATAACTGGCAATCAGGAGGCACCCTCGAGAAAAGCATACCATTCCGTCGTATGGGACATTGTTGTGTTGGGTGAGATATTTATGGAACTCTTGACAGGCAGCCCGAATATCAGACACAGATGCCTTTTGCCACCATGTGTAGTAGGGGCCGTCTGGGTAGCGGAGATCCAGGCCGGCGGCTGATTTGGACGTGAAGGGGCCGTCGATGAAATGAAACGCATGCTCTAATGGCGGCAAGTGGGCGGTGACGGCCGCTACAGATCGGTTAAATTATTTTTGCTTGCAGGTTTTCATAGTCAGACAACGCGTACCCAGCTGGTCCTGGAAGATGGTAGCAGAGGACCCTGTGCCGTGGATGCATAGCCATTTCATATTGTGTCGATTCAAGACAGGCCGAGGTAAACTGAAATCAGGTCAAGGCTAGGCATCATGCTAGAAAAATATATCAAATCTGTATTGGCAGTACTCTGTATAGAGGTGGGACTCAGCCAGCCACTGGACATACGGGGAATGCATGTTGATCTGCGCTGATGATACTCCTAGGTTCGTTACGCTTCTCTTCGAGCTTTAAATGTGTCAGCTTTGAAGACAAACTCTAAAATTCCAAAGTTCTAAATTTCTAGGCTGTGGACCAAGAAGCATCAACGGCAACATAAACATAAACATACTCCGGTATACAGATAGGTTGGTTTCAAAGAGAAGTAATTGTTCATAGCTAACAGCCCATGCACGTACGAAGGCTATTAGATTTCTAAGAATGTTGATTTAATCTTCTCTAGCCTTTCCCACCGATCTGGGAACCGGATCCACAGGAAATACCTGCTGGCCTTTCCGAAAACCTTCGTCAAAAATCAAGTTAGAGCGATTGCGCAGTGGCTCTGGTATGACCCATGAGTTTTGGGGATCGCGAAGCCACAAACGAAGCAGGTGACGGCTTTGGATATTTTCAATTAGCCAATTTTCATATACACGACCAATGCCAGCTTACCGATTTTCTGAATCATCTATATAGCTGTTTCGAGCATGTATCATGCTTAGGTTATTGATGAATTGCATATCGCCTCTCTCCAGCTTCATGGCTACATGAAACTTTTCTGCAAGAAAGTGGAGAGCATCTAGTACCTCCACCTGGATAGGGCTTAGCAAATTCATCTGGGATCGAGCACCAAATCCAGAAAACGAGCGTCGAGAGAACTGCAAGATGACTCGTTCCGGAGCTCCATCGCAAGCTGGTTGGTAGAATAAAAGCGGCCGGTGAGTGATCAGACCGGGCTGTTTTGCACTAATTAGGGTTCAATGGCACGTCAGCAAATTGGGTCTTTTTCCCTGGAGCATCGGATTATCATCGACAAGGTTTGCACACCTGGGTATCGGCCAGTCCTCCGCCAATACGCGGAGTAGATCGGGGCGGGTCTCCGCCAGAGAATTGTAGACAGTCCACGCACTGGCGAGCAGACTTTCACCGCCATTTACGGGCCCACCTAGGACGAAGAGAGAGACGATATCCCCCACATCCGTGTGATATACCACTTCGCCATCTGAATATGCTGCCAGGGAAAAGTTTTGTGCCTCGTTGGGACGTCGCATGTCGGTTATGTGGGCCAACATGACATCTGCCCGCTGCCCCTCGAATTGATGGTCTTGCCGACCGCGGGTGGCGGCAATGTGCGAAGAAATCCCGACATAGATGATCATATTCTCTTGGCGGGAATAGCGTTCTACTGGAATTCCTCGAATGAGTGTAAACCCATAGCCTGAGTGCAGATTGTCTGATGCGGACCGCAGGATCGAGTGCAAGTTCGGCAGAGGAAACGTCGACGGGTCCAGAGTCTCCATTGGCTGATTCAGTTCTGCAGTATAGTCATCAGTCTTGAGCTAGAAATACGAGGGTGGCTGGCTGACTTTGGAAATGCTTGAGTGCTGCATCTATCTCGACCAGCTGCGGAGCTTGTAGAATCAACAGGTACGGACTCTCAGCGCCTGCGGTGGGATTCATCGAGATATTTCCTCCTTCCCAAGCCATATCTGCGGTCAATCTCTGGGGAAATCCACGAGGAAGGATTTTTTCCACTGGTCCTTCATGTGAATAGCGGAACATACGAGTGTCGTACTCATCGCGGTCTGGCAAATAAGGGAGTTGGTCGAATGATTGCGCCATGGTCGCAATGAGATGAAGTATTACAGTTGGAGGCACAAAATGTTGAGGGCATGAACAGAGTGAATGCTTTATAATTACATGGGATGTCTCAGGATCCATCTCTCTCCGAAATATTTTACAGTTTTGATCATGAAGGGACGTATCTCGAATGTGCGGCCGTATACTCCGTAGTCCCGCACCAACTCCTCGACATCACCTAATGATAATCCGTAAATTATTGTAGTTCGGTGAATGTGACCTATCGAGAGAACACACACTACGGATCGTGATAAATGTGATGATCTACATAAACTGCAAGATAACTGGCAATTCAGTCCCGAGCTCAGCTCTGGGGTTCCAAATGGATCAGACAAAAGCAGCCAATTGCGAAGCTTCAAATAAAACTTACTATTGTGGAAATGCCTACCGAGGCTATTTGGGATTATTTAAGAAAGACAAAACATGAATAAGTAGTTAATACTTGGGAACATATTCATTTTATCGTCTGAAGTTCCTAACAATCACCAGAAAACATGACCATCCTCTCTAGGCACGATCGAGCATTATTCGAAACAACGAAACGTGTTCTTGCCGAGATTGTGAACGAAGGACTAGTTTATGCAAAGCTAGAGTCCACTGCGACGGGAGAGCCACAGATACTGTGCCTACAGAGTATACTCAACCCCCAGGATGGAAGCTTGGTCAAGGTGCCAATCAAAGCCGGCACTATCATCGAGACAAAAGATGATCGCGTGGTGTCTGTTGTACGACCAGACAGCTTACAGCCACCTGTGATTATTGCGGATACCGGGCACGGAGAGTTGGACCCAGGGACACTATTCAAGTTCCTGAGTACCTCGTTCAGCGATGTCGCTGGTGAGACAGTAGTGGATGAGATTGTTCAGGAATTGCGCAATTCAGCGGCAAATCAAGGTGAGATGGCATCGATGTCACACTGTCTTCATTGTACTAAAAATATCCAGAGAAATGGCTAGAGATTAGCGAAACCCAGCCATTGTTGAGCCTCAAGGATAGATCTGCTAGCTGGGAGCGGACATTGATCTATGGCCACCCGAGTCATCCCGTAGGATTTCTTGATAACCAACCTGCTGGACTGCACTCTAATTTTTGCATTGACAGTATCATCGATTGTGTTTTGCTCAAGCACCACTGAAGCCCGTCACCGCCGCAGATATCCCTGGGATGCTCAAGCCAACACTGGCGTTTGTTTCTGTTCCACGTGCCAATCTTCGTGTCACAGGCTACTTTGAGCAAGAGCTGCAACCACTCCTGGAAAGGCTTGAAATTCCGAAAACAACCAGTGACCGAGTGGTTGTCCCTTGTCTCGCTCAGCAATTACCCTCTATTCACCAGAGGTTCCCGGACACCATCGTTCTAAAGCTTATCGCGGACTGTGCCGATGCGCAGGCATCAATGCGTACTCTCACCATACGACCAGAGTTGGAGTTCAAGTATCACTTGAAGCTCTCATTGGCTTGCCAGATAACCTCCGCCCTGCGAACTATCACTCCGTGGACAACTTGTGGCGGCCCGGTCCAAACAGAGATCTTGGAGAATTTACTTCCAAAGGACCTCTGGGTTTTCCGAGAGGTAGCAGCTGTATCAGGCAGCCAGGAAGATTTCAACGAGGCGCGCCACCTTTCTTGTATTTTGCGAGATAGCCTGGAGACCAGAGCTAGGGAAAATGATGAAACTCTTATCATTGCCGCAGCATTGGCCCAGAAGCCTGGTGGAGGCAGTCGTACATATGCGGAGATTTTGTACAGCTTGGAAACAATCTCCCAGAAAAAGGAATGGTTCCGAAGGTAAGTGCAACGATCAGCCACAGATATCATAACAGATGCTGATTCCCGTACCAACAGATACGTTACGGTCCTATTTGAGCTTGTGCTTCCCCCATTGGTCCAATATGGAATCGGACTAGAAGGCCATGGGCAGAATCTTGTGGCCCGTGTTTGCCGTCGGACAGGTCAAATCAAAGGATTTGCCGTGCGCGATTTCGGAGGAGTGAGAATGCATGTCCCGACGTTGCGAAACCATGGCGTGAGATATGATTCGCTGCCCCCCGGAGCAGCCACCTTGACGGATGACTTGCAGAATGTGTGGAGCAAGGTAGACCATTCACTTCTTCAGAACCACGTCGGGCTCCTGCTTGAGTCATTGGGATTAGAGAACCATGGAGGATGGACAATTACCCACGAGGTCCTATCGACAGTCTTGGGGTCAGATAAAGGCTCTCCCGGGTATACCTTGTTCGAATACTTCACCAAGGACACAATGCCCTTAAAATGCTTCCTGAGAATGAGAATGGAGGGTAAATACCGTGATGTGAGTTTTCCGATGTGGTCTGTTGCTCAAACTATTACGAATTCCTGACGTTTTTCCCGCAGTACATTGAGAGGGAGGTTCCTAATTTGCTTCATGTCACTTAGCAAGGTCAAGGTGGATGAAAGAGAACGCAAGGCGAGTATATATCACTGGGTGAATTGGGAGGTTGATTTGGTCAATACATGTATTTCTTTCGAAATAATACCCCGCAGGATCGCCCCTCTTCCTTTCTCTTTCTCTTTTTCTTACGATTCCCCGACTTCTACACCTTGAACATACAGCGAATATCTTCGTTGTGCTCTCGTAAACCTGATGTGGAAGAATACAAAACCGACGCATCTTGCCTTCCAAGCACACAATCGACATGTCCTGACCTCTTTACAATTCGATGCCGACAAGATTATAGTCGGTAGTGACAACGCCAAAATCAGCGTGTATGATACCAAGACCGGAGCGCTTCGAGCAACACTGGAAGGCCACGAGGGTGGTATATGGGGACTTGAATACCATGGAAATACTCTGGTCTCTGTGTCAACTGACCACACCGTCCGAGTATGGGACATTGCAAAAGCCAAGTGCACCCACGTGTTCAAAGGTCACACATCCACAGTACGGACCGTACAGCTATTGCTCCCGGTTCAAATTGGCCAGCATCCAGATGGTACTCCAGTGATGATGCCCGAACAACCTCTAATCATTTCGGGATCCCGTGATTCAACCATGCGGGTTTGGAAACTCCCTCAACCTGTCGACGAGGAGTATTTCCCTCCCGCTCAAAGTGACGAGGAGTGTCCGTATCTCATCCATGTATTGACTGGCCATCAACATTCTGTGCGAGCAATTGCAGCCTATGGGGATACCCTGGTTAGCGGTAGCTATGATAGTACCGTACGAGTTTGGAAAGTATCCACCGGAGAATCACTGCACCGGCTAGAAGGCCATCAATACAAGGTTTATAATGTATCTTTGGACCATGAGAGGAACCGCTGTATTAGTGGATCAATGGACAATATGGTCAAGATATGGTCTCTTGATACAGGTGCGTTGTTATATAATCTTGAAGGCCACTCGTCGTTAGTGGGCCTACTTGATTTGAAAGATGATCTGCTCGTGTCGGCGGCTGCGGACAGTATGCTTAAAGTCTGGAACCCTGCGGATGGCCATTGCCAGCACACGCTGAGTGGCCATACTTCAGCGGTCACAAGCTTCCAGCACGATGGTCAAAAAGTAATCTCTGGTTCCGATGGGGAAGTGAAGTTGTGGGACATACAGACTGGTGTGTTTGAAAGGGATCTACTCACCAACCTTAACGGTGTCTGGCAAGTCCAGTTCGATGCCCAGCGTTGCGTTGCCGCGGTTCAACGTGGAAATATGAGCTATATCGAGGTAAGTACTCATATAAACTGATGTGCTGTTTTAATTTGCTAATTTATGAAGATTCTCGACTTCGGCACTTCCCCTGACTCCATACCAACTGGCCGGCCGGGGGAGCGGATCCTAGTCGATGAGCTAGGTCATGAAATCGGAAGCCGGAAGAGACAAAGGCAGAAATAATCTAGTGTTTGATTATCTTCAAATATTTGTACTATCTTCAATATTACTTTCCTAAGAATGCCATGGGCAAAATCGTAAATTTTCCGAAAAGGATATCGGAGTCCATCCGGTAGTAAATAATGAATGCTAATATAGTCTGCTCATGCAACCCCAAAATAAAAACGAGTGTGGAATGCCTATCCCAAGACAGGCAGTAAATGCAACACAAATCCGACCAGCAGATCTAACACAAGGAACAGAAACAGTATATCATCCCTAATATCACAAACGCCCTGTTGACGAACCAGCGACGGTATAACTGTACATGCAATGTAGAGTACAGGGAATCAAAATGACAGTATATGCAGCTTCTATCTCAAGACCTGAAGGTTAGGAGCTTCACAGAAGCAAGCCCATGCCCACAAAAACAGCGCCAAGCAGCGATGATCCCGCGCAGACTGTTCCAGCAGCGTTGTTTGTGGGTGTGGGGGTGGCAGTTGCGGAGGCAAAGACAGCAGACTTCGATAAAACGTTGCCACTCTTAGAGTTTGCAGTTGATATCGCGGTCACGATGCTGGTCGGTGGGTTGGCTGTTGAGGCAGCGACAATGATTCCGCCAGCTGCGGTGGCAGCAGTGGGTGCAATAGTAGTGGAGGCATTCTCAGATGCAGAGGGTTGGAGATTCTCAGCTGCCTGGATGAGGTTAAAGGTATCGGCACCGCCACCTAGATAAGTATGCTGTCAGTCATGATCTTGTTTCCGTACAGAATATTGTGGGTGACTCACAGCTTCCTGCGGGCCATCCAGCGCAGGGCACATCGCATTTACTGTCGGCGATCTTAGCGGAGTCTGGGGGCATTTCGTTGCCGCAGTAGCACATGTTGCCACGGCTCAGAGCAGCGACCTTGTAATTGTCCTCTGCGCATTGGGCCTGGCAATATCCTGGTGATTGATAGGTGTAGGGGCCCTGGTTCTTGAATGATTCGATAGCAGAGTAGCAGCCCATACTGGCAGTGGAGCTAAGCGAGTATACGGGAAGAGCTAGGGCAAGAGCCGACCAAATGTAGTTGGAATGCATAATTGGTAGGCGAGGTATTCGATCAACGAATTAAAGAGCGAATAGTTGTTTTGAGAAATGAAGGAAAGTATACGCAAAAGAGAGAGTTGTTTCGGGTGCCAGGGAGGAAAAAAAGGGTCCCATCAAGCATCTTTAAGGCGGCCGTTTGTTTGACACCCGTCGGTTCCATTTTTACGAGTGTTTTTCTGTGGAGTAAGGCTGGGACTGACGACATCGATGTCCAATCGATCGACTAAAAGAGGCGAAGGATTATTCTGAAACACTAAGCGACATGTTCTATTGAACCCGCAATGGGGCTTCATAAGGTTCATTGGCTTGCGAGCGGACGATCGCCGATCGGCATCCCCAGGTGTGGCGTCTCGTTTCCCTTTTGAGCGACCAATGACGGCGGACGGCTCCTCCTGAGTCAAATGGGATGAACTTGAGAAGGAGTTCGCGTGTTTCTGGTTTGGCGCTTGCCTTGATCGAGCATAGGTAGAGTGGGTTTAGGGTGTTGCATTTGTGAGGAATCTGGCATTGCTGGTCATCGCTGGTCATCGCCGGTGACCCCTTGTTTCTCCTTTTCTCCTTTTTATAGTATTCTGGTATCCTAGATATTCCAAATCCTCTCCATATTCTGCAAGATATCAGGACAGTCATTGATTTGTCTGGCATAACCTAGTTGGGAAACTGGACATCGAAATTGAGTATCAAAATGATTTTGGATCCATGGTTGACCCGAACCTTCCGCAATGTGGGATGCCTCGTTTATCAGGCACTTTTCCTTATCTAAGACATCTCAATTCGACCTCGCGGCCCAATATTCGGGCACCCTTTTTGACCCAGGGATACGGAACCTCCACAGGGGGAGGCAATAATGATTATTTGGTTATTTTAATCGTTCGTATTGCGATATTTGTACGTTGTACCCGCTGGAATCTTCCCGTCAAATGCCGGTGAGCTGAGCTATATATTGTCCACGGGTACTCCGTCCGTACTCCGTATTCCGCATACCTATCAATGCCTATATCAATATAGTCGACGGTTCGGATTGAAATACGAGCTAATAAACTAAGTAAGGCTAGGTGCAGGGATCTGCCAATAATTCCAGTTGATAATGAAATCCGACAGGAAACATCTCCATCGCATAGCGATTAAGCTTCGCGGTACATCAACTGACATTATACGATACCGTTGACAATTATTCATGGCTGAGACATTAAGGCTTTCTTTACCTTAGCTGAATACTAGCTCCGATCTATTACACGGACGGAACCTTGAGCTGGGCTGAGACATTTCCTAACTTCAATACACTTGAACATGGAGAATTAAAGTTGAACTGTCCCAAAATGATCAACATGTAACTATACAGCACACTTACCCCAACTCTCGGCAAAACAGCTACCCTAATAGGGCAATTCACATCGGCAACGGCCGCCAGCCGACCTCGGGAGAGGGGAAGATAGCAAGAAGATAAGATAGGCCTTGACGTGCTTTTGACGTGCCCTTTCTGGGCTATTGTGAATCCCTTCACGTCAATTTCCAAGACTTATAAATATTTTGACTCGGAAGTATTGCTACAACTTAGTCCGACCATGAAAACCCTCGCTCTCCTCGGCCTGGCCGCAGTGCCATCGCTAGCTCTCAATATCCCCACACAGCAGCATCTCTTCTCCGACAACGATCTGTCGGATCATTATAACCTGCTATCAGACCCATCTACACGGGAAACCTGCCCACAGCCGCCCAAGGTCAGCCTCCCTGATGATGGCCTGCACTCGTCGCAGATCTTCCTCACCGATGATGCCTTCCGTGCCCGCCAGGCAAAGCGGCTCTCGCGCGCGGTCCAGATCCCAACTACTGTGGGTGATTATATGGAAGACCCATACGATAAGGCATTCGAGCCTGTAGTCAAGTTCCAAGCGCTGCTGGAGGAGCTGTTCCCTCTAGTGTAAGAAATTGACCAATTGTTGAGCATGACCCGCCATGACTGCGAACTAAATCAATCACAGACACGGCCGGGGCAAGGTTGAGCACATTAACCGGCTCGGTCTAGTCTTCACCTTCGAGGGTGCTGACACTTCACGCAAGCCGTTACTCTTCATGGCCCACCAAGACGTTGTCCCAATCGACGACCCATCAGACTGGACTCACCCGCCCTTCGAAGGTGTCTTTGATGGCGAATGGATCTGGGGCCGCGGCTCAAGCGACTGCAAAAACGTCCTTATCGGGCTATTGTCTGTAGTCGAAGATCTGCTCTCCCAGGACTGGAAGCCAAAGCGCACGGTGCTATTTGCCTTTGGGTATGACGAGGAATCACACGGCTTCCTAGGTGCCGGAGCAATCTCAGCAGCTCTAGAGAAAAAGTACGGCAAAGACTCTTTCGAATTTATCCTTGACGAGGGTGGAATGGGACTGCAGAGCCTGGGCGATGATTCCGACCCTAACGGCGAGATCTTGTATGCTCTCCCGGCTGTCGGCGAGAAGGGCAGTCTCGACCTCATTATCAACATTGCCGTGCCTGGCGGCCACAGCTCGATCCCGCCCGCGCACACCGGCATCGGTATCATGGCGGAGATTTTGTACGAGCTCGAGCGGAAGGAGCTGTTCCCCGCCTGGCTGGATACCGACCACCCCGCCTACGGGATGCTGGAGTGCCAGGCACGATACTCACCCGACCACGTTGAGCCCTGGCTATCCGAGAAGCTGGCAGCACATGATCCTGCCGCTCTCGGCGAGGCCGTTGCCAGCTCCCGCGGGCCCGCAGTCCGGTACACAATGCAGACATCACAGGCCGCAGACCTGATCCACGGAGGTGTCAAGACAAACGCGCTGCCAGAGAAGATCTCCGCGGTTGTCAACTACCGCGTGGCACTACACCAGACGCCCGATGAGCTACGTGAGCGCGCTATCCGACTTATCAGCCCTATTGCGGAATCTCACAACCTTACTCTGCATGTTGTCTTCCCCGGTGTGGCGGAGTCTACGGAAGGAGATGCGAGCGACCGTACTCTCAAGCTGTCCCCTCTTAGTGTTCCTCTTTCCCCGGCTCCGATCTCCCCAACTGATCCGCTTACATCGAAGGTGTGGGCGCACTTTGCCGGAGTGGCACGTAGTGTTTTTGAGTCGCACCCGAACCCACTTGCCAAATCTGCGTCTGGTTCTAAGCCGACGGTTGTTGTCTCGGGAGATGTCATGACCGGAAATACTGACACGCGCTTCTACTGGTCTTTGTCGGAGAATATCTACCGCTGGAGTCCGTCGCGGGCTGGCGGAGCGCTGAATATTCATACTGTGGATGAGCGGATTCGCTTGGATGTGCATCTTGAAGGCATCATGCTTTACTACGGTATGTTATTTTTTTTCGTTCGTTGTTCCATTTGGGAAGTTTGCTAATTTATATTAGATCTGATTCGGTCTTTTGATGCTTGGGATGGAAAATCCGAGTGAACATACTTCTCCATTGTCAGAAACTTTGACACGTAGATATGAAGGTCTGGTATATACCTCACATTTTTGAAGGGATATAAACATATAGTCATAACTATTGAATGTTGATATGATCACCTTATACTTCGGTGTATGGGATACCGCAGCACGGATTTGTTATATAATTGATATTTCCCAATGTTAGAGCATCTGAACCTATCTCCAGATGACTGGAGAGGGTGTGGAAGTCACAGATTCATGTATATCCATCAAATACTCAAATATAGTATGTATATGCGAGGATTTCAACAAAACTCGCACAGCCCATGCCAAAAAGCAAGGCAATGGATGGGTATAAGCAAGAAAAAGACATTATCAAGTGTGGAGTCAACGAAGCGAACGGAAGGTATCTGGCACGTCTTCCACCACGACTGGTGGCAGCTATACTGGGCCAGGTCTTTAAGCGAAAGTCTTTGCGAGAGAAGAAAAAGGCGACCGACGGGGAAAAGACCCGAAGGCATTATAAGTGAAATAAATCAACAAGAAGCGAAGGGGTCCGCTAGCGGACGAGGATAGGAGCGAAGGAACCACCGATAACGGGGCGAGCGATGAAAGTAATTCCGGGATAACTAGGTTTCATCAGCAAGGAGTATTACAGGCTTGAGAGCTGGTTGACTTACTTTCCTGAGATAGTGTCGTACAGATCAGTCAGGGCTCGGTTGGTCGGTGTCTCATTGATCCAGGTCGCGAGATCCTTGATAAACATAGACCGAGTATCGACTGAACTGACTGCTGCCGCAAAGCATTCCCAGTCACCTATCGAATTGTGAGTACTTTTCCAATGTATGAGAAGTTGAGGCTTTTACCTTTTGTGTATGTGTGGCGGGTATCCAGAGGCACACCGTACTTATTTTCAACAGTCGGGTAGAAGTCGCTCTGCATCTGATAGACGGACTGTGGAACAAAGTCCAGGCCCAGCTGGGCATCAGCGAAGATATTGTAGAGCAGACCTGCAGGAATGGTAAGCAAGGCTTAATAGACTGGAATAGCGCTGGAGCCTACCATGGCTAGCGTTGTCGCCGTACGACAAGGTGGTATGGGGAGGATTGGCATCCTTGGCAATAGCCAGGTCCTGCCACTGAGTGATGTAGTCTCTGGCAATGCTCGAGAAATTAGCAGCGTCGGCGGTGTGGCCAGTCTGGTTGGCAATGACTGCCATGGCCTGAATACCGATCATGCCCTTGAGTGCGAGGTTGGTTTGGTTGCTAATTATGCCCGTTAGTTTTGAATTTCAGAGAAGGAAGGGCTTACTCACGCTAGAGAGCCAGCAAAGTCGTCCGTAGAGATCTGGTTCGCAGGATAAAGTGAGTCCTCGACTAAATAACTGGTCCACTGCTTGAGCAGAGTGTAGTGGTTATTCAAAAAGTCGGAGTCACCCGACTTCTGCGCATAAGCCAAAGACATGATGAGCATATCTCCGCACTCCTCCAAAGGCATTTTCTCGTCGTTGCCATTGGGGTGGCCCGTGGCGTTCGGATAAGCCGAGCCTAGGTCGTGCATGGAATAGTTGTTGGGATACTTTCCAGCCTCCTGGTTCTCAAACAGAGGGGTGAGCACGAGTTTCAGGAGTTCGGGGTTAGTGTACAGGAAAATCGGATAGGCTGGGAAGATAACATCCACAGTGTTCATGTTGCCATCGGAAGAGATTTCCTTAAGGAACAGATACTGTTTGTCTTGTGTACCACAAAGCTGGGTAGCAGCGAATGCCTGCCGAACCGCGAGCGAAGTAATAGTGAGATAGTCCTGACCAGCTGTTTCAATTGAATCCTGGGCCACCCTACTATCGAAAGAGCTTGCGAGGTTGCTCGATTCCGCATGATCGTGGTGGAAGAACGAAAGCGCGGCCAACTCTGTATCGAAATAACTCTTCCACAAGGACGGTACCGGGGCATACTGCGAAGCGCCTTCGTACTGAATAGCTTCGTCTTGTGTCAGACCGAGTGAGAAGAGCGTGCTAACGGGCGAAGAATCGACCGAGCCCAGATCGGATGAGAACCCGAATACGGGCCAGGTGGAGGAGATAGCTCGGAAGTTAGTGTCGACGCCATTGGTGAGTTTTCCATTGCTGG